GGTAAAAGAAACAATTTATTGCTATTTCCACTATTTTTACCTCTTTGAGGGTTGAAATTCAGGCACATTCTCCACATAAACTGGGAGAATTCACCTTAAAACACAAAGGAAAAAGGCCAAATCCCTTCAAAAGTGCTGAAATGAAGCTAATTAAACAATTATGATCACTGAAATTGGTAAAACCGTCAATTTATTGTTATTTTTATTCTTTTTACCTCTTTGAGGGTTGAAATTCAGACATATTCCCCTCACAAACTGGGAGAATTCACCTTAAAACAAAAAGGAAATTCTAAACACACAAGGCCAAGAAAAAGGGCCCAAGTCCCCTCAGATGTGCTGAAATTAAACTAATTAACAATTTCGATCACTGAAATTGGTAAAAGAAACAATTTATTGCTATTTCCACTATTTTTACCTCTTTGAGGGTTGAAATTCAGGCACATTCTCCACATAAACTGGGAGAATTCACCTTAAAACATAAAGGAAAAAGGCCAAATCCCTTCAAAAGTGCTGAAATGAAGCTAATTAAACAATTATGATCACTGAAATTGGTAAAACCGTCAATTTATTGTTATTTTTATTCTTTTTACCTCTTTGAGGGTTGAAATTCAGGCACATTCCCCTCACAAATGGGGAGAATTCACCTTAAAACACAAAGGAAATTTTAAAAACTCCAGGCCAAGGAAAAGGCCCAAATCCCCTCAGCTCCCTGACAAAGGCAAAAAAAGAGGGAAAATTGGGATCAGACCCCAAACTGCACTCAGACACCTCAAAAAAACAACTTTTAAAGCAACAGAGGTGGAAATAACTCAGTGAAAAGTGAATTTTTCCAGTGTTTTCCCACCTGGGAACAGGAAATTGAGGAAGGAGCTGGAACAAAGCGCAGCAGGAAAATGGAGCCGGGTGATTTTTGCGGGGATTTTCCAGGATTCTGTGAGGAATCCCGTGGCTCATTCCATGAAGAAATTTGATTTATAAGGGATATTTCCCTCCCGGGGTGAGGAACCCTCAGCAAATCCCCCCAAAAATCAAAATATCCCATCCAAAGCTTGAAGAATCTCTGCCCCATCCCCGATTTTTACCCTCACGCTCCTTCCTGGCCGATAAATTGATTTATTTTGTTTATTCCCACCCCAAATCCCAGTAGAAAAACTCCTTTTTTTTTTTTGCTGGCAGTGCCAGCTGAGCCCCACCACAAATATCCCGATGTTTTTATGGTGTTTGTCCTTGTTAAAGTCAAATTTAGCCCTTTTTTTTTTCCCCTCTCAGCACCTGCCCTTTTCCACCCTGGGAGCTGCCGAGCACCTGCACAATTAAAGCTTCATTAAAGCCGACTTTTTTAATTGCCTCTGGGTCGCTGGAGCAGGAAAAACAGCTGGAAAAAAAGCTTTGGACATGGTGAGGAAGCAGCAAAAGTTCCATGTTTTCTTGTCAGTTTTACTGTTTTATTTTTATTGTGTTATATACTTGCTGTGGTGAACGTGGAATTCACCAAGTTGGAAGTGTCCGTCCTCAATAGTGAATTGGAACTAGAGAATAAATAAGGATATTCCAGAGAAAAAGGGAATAATAATAAAAAATAAAATATAATAATAATAGTCATCATCAGGATATTCCAGAGGAAAAGGGAAGAATAATAATAATAATAAGGAATAATATTAAATAAAATGTAATAACAATAATAATAATCCAGATAAAGAGGGAAGTAGAAGAATAATAAATAAAGAATAGTAATAAATAAAATAAATAATAATAATCAGGATATTCCAGAGATTAAAAAAGGAAGTATCCCCTCAAAATACAAATTATCATCACTCTTAACATTTACTCAGAGTTTTGTAACAAATTAAAGATATTTTTCAATTTTCCTTTAAGCCTTGGGGAAGCTTTTTTTCATCCCAGGAATATTTTTGGAGCTGGATTTGTCCTGGCCAAGCAAACAGCCCCAGCAGAGCGCAGCTTTTCATCCGGCTCCATAAAATTGAATATTTTTTATTGGATTTCTGGCAACGCCCGGGAACGTTTGGTGCTTATCAGGCCCAGATAAGATAGCAGAGCTTGGGCTCGGCTCATTAAAGCCCGGCCTGGCAGCGGCAATTAACGAACTGGTTTTTTCCAGGGATGAGCAGCTCCAGAGGATTCCCGGGAAAAGCGCGGGAAAAGCTCCAATCCCTGGGCCAAAATCCTGGATTTCTGATCCAGAGGCAAAATCCTGGGATTACTGACCCAGAGGCAAAATCCTGGGATTTGCTGACCCAGAGGTAAAATCCTGGGATTTGCTGACCCAGAGGCAAAATCCTGGGATTTCTGATCCAAAGGCAAAATCCTGGGATTTCTGATCCAAAGGCAAAATCCTGGATTTCTGACCCAGAGGTAAAATCCTGGGATTTGCTGACCCAGAGGTAAAATCCTGGGATTTCTGATCCAAAGGCAAAATCCTGGATTTCTGACCCAGAGGTAAAATCCTGGGATTTGCTGATCCAGAGGCAATCAATGAACTCACTTTTTCCAGGTGATTCCCAGGATGAGCAGCTCCAGAGGATCCAGAGGATTTCCTGGGAATTACTGGAAAACTCTGCTCCCAGTTTAACTTCCCTGGATCAAAATCCTGGGATTTGCTGATCCAGAGGCAATTAATGAATTGTTAATTTCCGTGGGATTCCACGGGATGATTCAGGAGGATTCAGAGGATTTTCCAGAAATTATTGGAAAACTGTGCTCCCAGCTCAGCTTCCCAATTTTTTCCTGGGCTGAAATCCCAGGATTTGCTGATCCAGAGGCAATTAATGAATTCACTTTTTCCAGGTGATTCCCAGGATGAGCAGCTCCAGAGGATCCAGAGGATTTCCTGGGAATTATTGGAAAACTGCTCCCAGCTTAATTTCTCTGGGTCAAAATCCCAGGATTTCTGATCCAAAGGCAAAATCCTGGGATTTGCTGATCCAAAGGCAAAATCCCAGGATTTTCTGATCCAGAGGCAATTAACAAACTCATTTTTTTCCAGGATTCTGTGGGATGAGCAGCTCCACGAGGATTACCTGGGAATTATTGAAAAATCTTGGTTCCAACTCAACTTCCCTGGGCCAAAATCCTGGGATTTTCTGATCCAGAGGGAATTAATGACCTGTTTTATTCCAGGGATTCCGTGGGATGATTCAGGATTCACCTGTTCCCGGGAATTATTGGAAAATTGAGTTCCCAGTTCAATTCTCTGGACTCTCTTTGCCTTCTGCTCCCCCCAGTGGCCACAGCTCCAGGGATGGAATGAAGAGAAATTAATGAAAAAACAAGAAATCAGTGAAATAAAATTTAAAAAATTTAATTAAATTTAATGGAATTAAAGGAAATACCTGGAATTAATAGGAAATCTACGGACTTAAAAAGAAATTCAAAAGTAACCTGTGAAATTAAAAGGAAATCCATGGAATTAAAGGAAATCCATGGAATTGAAAAGAAATTAAAAGGAAATCCATGGAATTAAAGGAAATCAGTGGAATTGAAAAGAAATCCAAAAGGAAATCCATGGAATTGAAAAGAAATTCCAAAGAAATCCATGAAACTAAAAGGAAATCCAAAAGAAATCCATGGAATTAAAGGAAATCAGTGGAATTGAAAAGAAATCCAAAAGGAAATCCATGGAATTGAAAAGAAATTCCAAAGAAATCCATGAAATTAAAAGGAAATCCAAAAGAAATCCATGGAATTCAAAGGAAATCCATGGAATTCAAAGAAATCAGCCAAAAATCAACAGTGGAAATGAGATCATTGGGACAGGGAATTGGGAATTTCCCCAGTCCCCCAAACCTGATCCCAGGGGGAAGGAAAAAGGGAATTAAAGCCCGGCTTTACCTGCTCGATGTAAACATCTTAACGAAGCTCCTGCTAATTGCTTGCTCCTAATTAACGCTCTCCCAATTCCAAAGCCTCTGGAATTACAGCTCCAGGAATTTTGGGCTTTTCCACAAGGAAATTTCCCTGCTCAGCTCTCCCTGAGGGCCAGCACAGGCTTGGAATTTGATTTTTCCCAATATTTTTTCCCTGATTTATTTTCTAATCAACCCCCCCAAAAAAAGCTGAAAAGCCAAAAAAGAAAAGTTTAAATCTCTTTATTTTGGCACTGTTTACAAAGATACAAATGCAGGAAATACTGGGGGCTTAAAACCGAGTTTTAAAGCACAGTTTTATTGTTTTCAACCCAAAGCAGCACTTTGGAAAGGGAATTTGAAGGTGGAAGGGAAGGAGAAACCCAGAAAACTCAAAATTAAACTCACAAAACCCAAGCTCAACCCCAAGCTCAAACTAACCCCACAAAGCTCGACCCCAAACCCGAAACTAAACCCATAAAACCAAACTAAACCCACAAAATTCAACCACAAAACCCCAAATTAAACCCAAATCCAAATCTAAACCCACCAAACTCAAGCACAAACCCACAAAACCCAAAACTAAACCCACGAAATCCAACCTTAACCCCAAACCCAAAACTAAACCCACAAAACCAACCCCAAACCCAAAACTAAACCCACAAAAACCCAAAACTAAACCCATAAAACCAAAACTAAACCCCAAACCTAAACCCACAAAACCCAACCTTAACCCCAAACCCCCAAATTAAACCCATAAAACCCAACCCTAAAACCCAAAACTAAACCCACAAAACCCAAAACCAAACCCCAAACCTAAACCCACAAAACCCAACCTTAACCCCAAACTAAAACCCAACCTTAAACCCAAACTAAACCCATAAAACCAAACCTAAACCCACAAAACCCAACCCTAAACCCCAAACTCAAACCTAAACCCCCCAAACTCAACCAGGAGTTCACAGCAATGACAAAGATGAACCACGCCCCAAAAATGAGTCAAAATTTGGGGATTTTAACATTTTCTGGGTAAAAATTCCAGGATTTCAAATTGTTCTGGGTAAAAATCTTGGGATTTTCATTTTCTGGGTAAAAAACACTGAGGAAAACTCGATTTTAATCACACACAGAACTAAATTTTTAGGTTTTTGATGACACAAATCCCATTTTTAATGTCACAAATCCCATTTTCAGACAACAATTAAAGCAAATCCCACACGAGAAGAGACAGAAAAAGGAGCTGATCCTTCAATAAATTAAAATTTTAGCAATTAAGCAGGACAGGAATGAACACACAGGAATTCCCAGCTCCAGAGCTGCAATTCCTTGGAATTATTTGCATAGTTCCTCCTTTTTTTCCCCCCCTTTGGAATTCAGAAAATCCTCAGAAATTCTGAATTCCAGGATAAAACCTTCCTACTTGGGAAGGGGAAAAAAAAAATCTCAGCAGCACAAAAGATAATGGAAATGATCAAAATTCCAAGTTGGAATCTCCCAAATCCTCCAAAAAAATTGGGAATTTCAACTGGAATTCCTTGGCCAGGAGGAAAAGAATTTTATCTATCATAATAAACAGGAAAATTTTGGAATATTTTGGCACAGGAGCCTCTCCATGATTTGGGTTTTATCCCTGAAAATTCCACCAAAATCTCGTTGGTTTTTAAGGAGATAAAAGCAAATCCAGCTGCCCCAAAATTCCCAGAAAAAATGGGATTATTCCATGGGAAAAATGGATTTCTTCCCATCCCAAATTCTCCTCTTGGAAGGTTTGACCCCCAGGGAAAAGGAAATTCTCCAGGTGGGAGGCAGATCCAAGAGTTTTGTTCTCGTTTTCCCATAAAAAAATTTGGGAAAAAAGGGGAGAACCAAAGCTCCCATTCCCATCCCTGGCAGGGAATGCCAAAGGATTTCTGCTGGGAGCAGCGCTGGGAATGCTCAGAGCTGGAATTCCAGGGGGTGAGAGAAATTCCAGGGATTTGGGATGGATTTAGGATGGATTCCAGATCCAGGAGGAAAACGTGGAATTCCAGGGGGTGACAGTAAAATTCCAGGGTTTTAGGATGGATTTCGGATGGATTCCAGACCCAGGAGGAAAAGAATTGGAATTCCAGTGGGTGACAGAGAAATTGCAGGGATTTGGGGTGGATTTAGGATGGATTCCAGATCCAGGAAGAAAAGCTGGAATTCCAGGGGCGACAGAGACTTTTCCATGGATTTGGGATGGATTTAGGACTTTTCCATGGATTTAGGACCCTCAGTTTGGATGGAAAAGCTGCAGGAGGGAGACCCAGCCAGGAAAAAAAATCATTTTCCAGCTCTTTGAACTTCCCAAAATTCCTCAGGCAGGATTGAGATCTGTGGGAGAAGCTGAGGCTGGTGCTTGGAATTTGGGAATGCCTCTGGAGCTCAAATTCCAGGGATTTCCCACACCAAAAATCCCATTTTTCCACTGGCAGGAGTTGTCCCGATCCCTGTGGCTCATCCCAAAAATCCCCGAGTGCCCCAAAAGCAGGAATTCCCAATTCCACCAGGAATGGATTATCCCTTGGAGAACACTTAATCCAAGGATTGAGCTGGAAAAATTCCCAAAAAAATCCCAAGATTTGGGATCAGGCCTGGATAGAGCACCAGGAGAGCGGGAAAATGCTCCCAGTGGGATCTGGGATTTGCTTCCAAAGGATTCTGCATCTTAATTACTGTCATAATTAATTAGCATGGTTAGTTAGCATAATTAATTAGCATAATTAATTGCTGTCCCAGGTTAAAGCAGGGGCACTTGAGAGGATCCCTTTGCCCGGCCCAGAATGGATCCACATCCCAAATCCCTGCTCCAGTTTTGGGGTCACATCCCAAGCAAAGTCCCCAAATTCCCAAAGGATTCTCTCCAAGCAGGGAAAATCCCCCAAATTCCTTAAGGATTCTCTCCAAGCAGGGCAAATCCCCCAAATTCCCAAAGGATTCTGTCCAAACAGGGAAAATCCCCCAAATTCCTTAAGGATTCTCTCCAAGCAGGGAAAATTCCCCCAAATTCCTTAAGGATTCTCTCCACAAGTCCTCAAATCCCTCCGGAATTCTCCCCAAACAGGAAAGATCCCACAAATCCCTCCGGAATTCTCCCCAAACAGGAAAAATCCCACAAATCCCTCAGGAATTCTCCCCCAACACCACAAATGCCCCGAATCCCTGAGGAATTCCCCCATCCTCCGGCAGGAACCCCCGGAGCAGCACCAGGACCCTCCAAAGTCCCCGATCTCGCCGGGGGTGAGATTTGGCACAAACCCTTTGGGATTCCTGCGGGATCAGCAGCTCCCAGGGATTTCCTGGGCTCAGGAAGAGGGGCAGGGGCGCTCCAGGGCTGGGGTCACACGTTGCTGACCCGGCTGTCGGCGGGGCCGGGCGGGCCCAGGGAGCGCTCGCGGCGGACGTAGCGCGGCTTCCGCACTGCCGGGACAAAACATCCCAAAAAAATCCCTGGGAATGGGGTCCCAGCGGGAATTCCCAAAGGGAGAGAGGGTGGGGTGTGGGGATTGAGGTGCAGTGGGGTTTGGGGTTGGGTTTTGTGGGGCTGGGGTTGAGCGCGGTTCCCGCACTGCCGGGACAAAACATCCCAAAAAAATCCCTGGGAATGGGGTCCCAGAGGGAATTCCCAAAGGGAGAGGGAGGTGGGATGTGGGGATTGAGGTGCAGTGGGGTTTGGGGTTTGTGATTGAGTTTTGGGTTTGGGTGTTGGATTTGAGTGTGGCTTCTGCACTGCTGGGGACAAAACATCCCAAAAAAATCCCTGGGAATGGGGTCCCAGAGGGAATTCCCAAAGGGAGAGGGAGGTGGGATGTGGGGATTGAGGTGCAGCAGGGTTTGGGGTTGAGTTTTATGGGGCTGGGGTTGAATTTTGTGGTTTTTAACCCCAAACCCAGTATTAGCACCCCAAAACCCAAAATCCCCAAAACCGAGCCTAAATCCCCAAAACCCAACCCCCCAAACTAAACCCCCTAAACTCAACCCCAAACTCAAAATTAAACCCCCAAACCCAAACTAAACCCACAAATCCCAAACTCAACACCCCAAAAATGCATTTCCCACCAGAAATCCCATCAATATTTTGCCCTGCATGAATTGAAGCAACAAATCCTATTAGAAAAACCAAATCCCACTGGATTTCTGTTCCTCATCCCGGGAATTTTTGGGATTTTCTGTTTATTTTTAGCACATTCCAGGGGAAATTTCCTCACCTGAAGAAGCTGGAGGAGAGATCATGGATGCCTGTGGAACAGAAGGATAATGTCAAAAAAAAGCAATTTTTAACAGTTTTTCATTAGAAAAACCAGGAATTTTAAAAAATTCCAGTAATATTCATGTCAAAAAAAGCAATTTTTAACAGTTTTTCATTAGAAAAACCAGGAATTTTAAAAAATTCCAGTAATATTCATGTCAAAAAAAGCAATTTTTAACAGTTTTTCCTTAGAAAAATCAGGATTTTTTTAGCATTCCTATGATTTTCACTGTATACAGTTTTTTCCTTAGAAAAAACCCTCAATGTTTTCATTTCTGTCCCAGTTTGGATCCAAAGAACCCCAAAATATCTTTAATTTTATTTCAGTCTCATTCTTCAATTAAGGAGCTGATTAATAAAGTCCCAATTTAGTTAATTAAAATGGAAATTCTTGTTTATTTAATGTTCCTATAAAAGCAGAATTTACTCACTGTTTCACTGGGCTGGACAACAGATGCTAAAAGAGAAAAAAAAAGATTAATTAAGATTATTTTAATTAATTTGAAGGCTGGAATTGGTCATTTTCTAAAAATAGAACCATGGAGGGAATAATTTCCTTGTTAAAAAAAAGAATTTTGTCCCAAAATCCAACCAAAATATTCCAAAATCCCATTTGGAGAATTTATTGGGTGTAGGACTCTCAAGACTGGAGAATTTATTGGCACAAAATGGGGATTTTCTCCACAAAGTGGGAATTTATGAGTTCAAAATGGGAATTTTCTCCTAAAAATGGGAATTTATGAGCTCAAAATGGGAATTTTCTCCTAAAAATGGGAATTTATTGGCACAAAATGGAGATTTTCTCCACAAAATTGGAATTTATGAGCTCAAAATGGGAATTTTCGCCTAAAAATGGGAATTTATTGGCACAAAATGGGGATTTTCCTCCACAAAATGGAGAATTCAGCCTCCCAAAATGGGAATTTTCAGGGAAAAATCCCCATTTCAGTCAATTAACAGAGCAAAGTTCATTAATCAAAGCATAATCAAAGGGTTTTTTTACCTTTGTTCCTCCTGTAGAAAATCTTTGGGAGTTTGAAAATGGGAATTTTCTCCTAAAAATGGGAATTTATTGGCACAAAATGGGGATTTTCCTCCACAAAATGGAGAATTCAGCCTCCCAAAATGGGAATTTTCAGGGAAAAATCCCCATTTCAGTCAATTAACAGAGCAAAGTTCATTAATCAAAGCATAATCAAAGGGTTTTTTTACCTTTGTTCCTCCTGTAGAAAATCTTTGGGAGTTTGTTGGCTCGTTTGAGGTAGAAAAAAGAAGCCACAGAGAGGATCAGGAACAAACTGAGGAAAAACGTCCCCAAAATCAGCGAGGCGGCGACCTCGGGGCCCCCTGGGAATGGAAAATGATCAGAAAAAAGAGAAAAGTCTGGCTTGGAGCACAAAATCTCTTTTCCTCAAAGGATTAAATGAAAATAAAGAGCAAATTCCTGAGTTTTAGGTGCTGTTGGAGCATTGCAGGTGCCTGAAATTGAGTTTTGATTTCAGTGGCAGCTGCCAGGGGTTCAATCAGTTTTCATGTATTTGAATCAATTAAATCAGTTTTGACAAATTAAATCACTTTTTAAACTCATTTCAACAAATTAAACCACTTTAAACGCATTAAATCCCTTTTTCAACTAATTAAATCCCATTTTAACAAATGAAAAAAAACACTTTCATTGGTTAAACATTTTTTAAAGTCATTAAATCACTTTTAAAATTAATTTTAACAAATTCAAACACTTTTAACACATAAAATCCCTTTTAAAACTCATTTTAACAAATAAGATCCTTTTAAACTCATTCAATCCCTTTATAAACTCATTTTAACCAATTAAATCCTTTTTAACTCATTACATCCCTTTTTAAACTCATTAAATCCCTTTTTAAAACCATTTTAGCAAATTATTTCACTTTTAACTCATTCAATCACTTTCTAAACTAATTTTAACAAATTCAATCACTTTTTAAACTCATTTTTTAAAATTCAATTGCTTTTACACTCATTAAATCCCTTTTTAAACTCACAAAATCCCTTTTTAAACTCATTTTAACCAATGAAATCCCCTTTTGAACTCATTAAATCCCCTTTTGAACTCATTTTAACTCATCAAATCCCCCAAATCCTCCCGAAATTCCAGGTGCTCACCAAAGTTCTGGAAGAAAGGAGTGCTCACGTTCAGGTGGGAGCTCAGCCCTCTGCTCCCAGCTGGAAAAAAACAAAAAATTTCCACTAAAATCCATCCCCAGCCCAAATTTTACCATTTTCCCCCTTCCTGCACACCAAATTCCCAAATTTCCACTGCTTTTCCCACTCAAAATCCCACCAGGAATTTGGGAATGTGATTTATATTCTGTGGACTAAAAATCTCTTTTTTTTTTTTTTTTTTTGCTGCATTTTTGAGGAGTTTTTGCTGTGAGGAATAAATGACAATTAATAAATAAAAAGAATTAAATTTAATTAAATTCAAATTAATTCAAGGATGTGGGATAAAAATCTCCATTTTTTTTCCTGCCTTTCGGTGGAGTTTTTGCAGTAATTGACGCCAATAGATGAATAAAAAAATATACAATTAATTCCAATTAATTTAATTAAATCTAATTAACAAAAATGGGTTAAAAACTCACAATTCCTGCACTCGCTGAGGTTGTGCCCAGAGGGGCTGGGCAGGGTCTCATTCCTGCACTTGATGCAGCTGCTGCTCCCATCCTCATTCCACCTCCTGTAGCATCCTGCCCAAAAAAAAAAACAGGGAAAAAGGGATAAAACCAGCAAAATTCCCAATTTTCTGACAATTCCCAGATTTTAGAGGGGAAAAACCAGCAAAAATTCCCTAAATCTAATTAACAAAAATGGGTTAAAAACTCACAATTCCTGCACTCGCTGAGGTTGTGCCCAGAGGGGCTGGGCAGGGTCTCATTCCTGCACTTGATGCAGCTGCTGCTCCCATCCTCATTCCACCTCCTGTAGCATCCTGCCCAAAAAAAAAAACAGGGAAAAAGGGATAAAACCAGCAAAATTCCCAATTTTCTGACAATTCCCAGATTTTAGAGGGGGAAAAAACAGCAAAAATTCCCTTTTTTTTTTGGGTTACAAACAGCACCTGATTTCCTTTTTCCCACACTAAAGAGGTTTTATTCTCAAATTTTATTCCCAATTGTAATTCCCAGTTTTTATCCCAGGAAAAATAACTTTCCCAAGGGGAAAAAAGAGAAGGAATTCTAAGGAAATAATATTCATTAATTAATTAGCAACCCCCAGCTGCTGGATTTTGGTGTTCAAGTCCAGAAAATCTGGGAATTTTTGATCCCTGGAATTCTCCCAGTGTTTATCCCAGAAAAATAAAACTTTCCAAAGGGAGAAAAAGGAGGAGGAATTTCAAAGGAAGAACAAAAATTCAGGAATTTTTTATCCTTGGAATTCTCCAAGGCCACAATGATTATCCCAGAAAAATAAAACTTTCTAAAGTGATAAAAGGAAGAGAAATTAGAAGGGAATATCATTAATTAATTAATTAATTTCCACTCTCCAGCTGCTGGAATTTGGAATTAAAGTCCAGAAAATCTGGGAATTTTTGATCCCTGGAATTTTCCAAGGCCTGCCCATGGAATAAATGATTTTTAGGGGTTTTTCCAAGCCCCAGTTCCACGGATTGATCCCAAAGAATTCCCTACCTGGGCTGCACTGGTGGCTGACAGGGCAGGAGCTGTTGGAATCCAACATTTCCACACAACATTCCGGGTCTGGCACCTGAGGAGAGAAATTCCCAAGGAATTCCCACTTTTCCATCGAGGAAATAATAATAAATAGAAAAAATAAATTCAAAATCCCCACAGAAATTAAGGATAATTCAGTTAAAACCCACTGGATTTTTTTTCCAGCAAGAAGGAGAAAACTTGGTTTTAAATTTTATTTTTATTTTATAAATCAATTTGATTTTTCTAAATCCATTTTATTTTTATTTTAGATAGAAATTTTATTTTTTAAAATCTATTTTATTTTGCTTTTAGAAATCCATTTTATTTTTATTTTAGATAGAAATTTTATTTTTTAAAATCTATTTTATTTTGCTTTTCTAAATCCATTTTATTTTTATTTTTCAAATAAAAATATAGAAAAGTTGGGATAAAAAATAAAATTATTTAAAAAAATTAAACTAAATTAAATTCCTGGAGCACCCACCGAGTTTTCTGTGGATTTTCCAGCAACTTCTGCCACGAGCCTGGTCAGAAGAAGCACAAAGGGCACCTCCATTCCCAGGAAAAACACGGATCTGGAGAAAATTTGAGAATAAATTCAAATTATTTATTAATAGCACTGGAATTCTCCTTCCCTTTAAAGAAGTTTAGGGGGAAAAGGGGGGTGGGAAGAGTAAGGAAACACAGATGAAAAAGCATTATTTATTATAAAACATAATCAAATTATTTCGATTTTTGTCAATACCTGCTTATTCAAAGAGTAAGAAAACACAGATAATGAAGGATTATTTATTAAAAAAACCATACTAAAATTAAATTATTATTTAAAAAAATAGATTGTTCTTACCTAGAAGAATACTCTTGAGGAACAGCTCATAATAAAGGGAAAATTGGGGTGGAAAAAGCCCCTTGGAAGTGCTGGGTCCTCCTGAAGGGCACAGCTCGATCAGCTCAGTCCTGCTGGGATTTCCATGCCTAAAATAAATCAGGACACCGAGGATTTCTGACCCCAGCCTCTGCAGCAATAGTTTTTATTTCCATCAGCCAATAATTTTTATTTCCATCAGCCGGAGGGAATTTGGAAACATTTGATGGAGCTGGAGCTGTTGGGGTTTTTTATTGAGCCAGTTTGAAAGCAAAGCCCAGCTCAAAAAGCTGCTTTAAAAGTTTCCAAACACTTGAAATATTCGGTATTTTAAACTTGATTTTCACTTAATTTTTAAAATTACTTTATTCCTACTTAATTCCCTCCGAACCATCCCAAAATTCACAAATTCCCCACAGATTTTCTCAGGATCAAACACCCACAGCGAAATTAATTCCCTCAAAAAATCTGTTCCACGTTTGGCAGCATTTTCCCTGTGGATTTTGGGGGGGAAAAATAATAAATAAATAAATAAATATACACACACATATATATATATAAATATATATATAAATAAAACCTCTGCCTGAATTAGAAGATATTTTTCCCTCAGGATTTTCCCACCAGCACAGGAAAATATGAGAATTTCTACAAGGATTTCACACCCCAGGAAGGAACAACAACATTTTCTGATCAAACACAACATTCTGCTGCCTCCAAGGACAAGGTTTTACCTCATAAATTGAAATTTAGAGAGGAAAAAAAACCCCAAAACCCTCAGGGGATTCAGGATCTACCAACCCTGAGGAGAGGAGGAGGAGGAGGAGATACAAATTCCCTCCAAACCATCCCAAAATTCACAAATTTCCTCAGGATCAAACACCCACAGCAAAATAAATTCCCTCAAAAAAATCTGTTCCACGTTTGGCAGCGTTTTCCCTGTGGATTTTGAGGAAAAAAAAACCTAAAAAACCAGAGATTTAAAGCCACACCCAAGCTGCGGCCTGAATTAGAAGATATTTTTCCCTCAGGATTTTCCCAGCAGAGCAGGAAAATCATGGAATTCCAACAAGGATCTCACAGCCCGGGAAGGCCACGTTTGGCAGCATTTTCCCTGTGGATTTTGGGGGGGAAAAATAATAAATAAATAAATAAATATACACACACATATATATATATAAATATATATATAAATAAAACCTCTGCCTGAATTAGAAGATATTTTTCCCTCAGGATTTTCCCACCAGCACAGGAAAATATGAGAATTTCTACAAGGATTTCACACCCCAGGAAGGAACAACAACATTTTCTGATCAAACACAACATTCTGCTGCCTCCAAGGACAAGGTTTTACCTCATAAATTGAAATTTAGAGAGGAAAAAAAACCCAAAACCCTCAGGGGATTCAGGATCTACCAACCCTGAGGAGAGGAGGACGAGGAGATACAAATTCCCTCCAAACCATCCCAAAATTCACAAATTTCCTCAGGATCAAACACCCACAGCAAAATAAATTCCCTCAAAAAAATCTGTTCCACGTTTGGCAGCGTTTTCCCTGTGGATTTTGGGGAAAAAAAACCCCAAAAAACCAGAGATTTAAAGCCACACCCAAGCTGCGGCCTGAATTAGAAGATATTTTTCCCTCAGGATTTTCCCAGCAGAGCAGGAAAATCATGGAATTCCAATAAGGATCTCACAGCCCGGGAAGGAACAACACTTTCTGGTCAAACACAACATTGTGCTGCCTCCAAGGACAAAGTTTTACCTCATAAATTGAAATTTAGAGAGGAAAAAAAACCCTAAAACCTTCAGGAGCTTGAGGACCCAGCCGAGGAGAAGCGAAGCGTGAGGGGAGGTTTGGGCGGGAAATTGGGAAGGAATTCTGCCCTGGGAGGGCCTGGGATGGAATTCCCAGGGAATTGTGGCTGCCCCATCCCTGGAATTGTCCCAGCAAGGTTGGATAAACCTGGGATATTGGAAAGGATGAGCTTTAAATTCCCTCCATCCCATCCCAATACAGAAATTTCCCACAAATTTCCTCAGGATCAAATACCCACAGCAAAATAAATTCCCCTAAAAATCTGTTCCATGTTTAGCAGTGTTTTCCCTGTGGATTTGGGAGAAAAAAAAAAATATATATATATATATACATATAAAGTCTCTGTTGAATTAGAAGATATTTTCCCCTCAGGATTTTCCTGCCAGCTCAGTTAGGGGCAGGCAGATTTCGGAATTCCAGCAAGGATTTCCCAGGCCGGGTGTCAGGTTTGGAACAAATCCCAAATCTCTGCCAGCTCAGATCCCCAAGGGAGTGAATCCCACGAGGGAATTCTGCCTCTTGTTGCTTTTCAAAAGCAACACAAACACCTCAGGAACACCGAGGGCTTTCCTCCCACTCCTGCAAGCAAAATGCTTTCATTATCTCCAGAGTTTCCTTTCTTTTTCTGCTGCATTATCAGCTTTTTTCTTGCTGGAGCTTGGGAATTACTCCAGCAGCTGGAAAAGGATGGAAGTGGAGAGAAACTGTGCCTGAAATTCAGGTGGTTTCACAATTCCCTGGGGTTGGAAGCACATCACACCCAAAAGCTGCTGAATTCTGAAGAGATAAAGCTGAGGGCAGAAGCAGAGAGGGCTGGAAAAGCTGAGATGGTAAAACTGAGGAGAAAAGCTGAAATCGTATAACTGAGAGAAGAATTAAAAGGTTTTAAACATTGAAATGATAAAACTAGTGAAGAATCAAGGGTTGGAAAGGCTGAAATCATAAAATAGAGCAGATTCCGACAGGTTTTAAAAGTTGGAATGATAAAACTGAGGAGAAAAGTTGAAATTATAAAACTGAGAGAAGAATTAAAGGGTTGTAAACAATGAAATGATACAACTGAGAGAAGAATTAAAGGGTTGGAAAAGCTGAAATTATAAAACTGAGAGCAGAAGCAGACAGGTTTTAAAAGCTGAAATGATAAAACAGAGAAGAATGGAAGGGTTTTAAAAGCTGAAATGGTAAAACTGAGGAGAAAAGTTGGAATTATAAAACTGAGATAAGAATGAAAGGGTTTTAAACATTGAAATGATAAAACTGAGAGAAGAATGAAATGATAAAATTGAGAGAAGAATGAAAGGGTTTTAAAAGCCGAAATTATAAAACTGAGAAGAAAAGTTGGAATTATAAAACCGAGTGAAGAATGGAAGGGTTTTAGACACTGAAATGATAAAACTGAGAGAAGAATGGAAGGGTTTAGACATTGAAACGATGAACCAGAGAGGAATGGAAGGGTTTTAAGAGCTGCAAGTGCCACTCACCTGCAGGCTCCCAGGAGCCCTGTGCACCTTGCCCAGCTGCCAGCAAACACCTGAGGCTCGTGCTTTGCTGCTCATTTCACCAGGAACCTGCTGTGGCACACAGAAAAGTTTAACAAAACAATCTTTTATCAGTCCCAGCTGGAGCAGGACTCGTTTTTCCAGCTCGGAGCTGAGCCCCAGTCCTGCCCTTTCCACGGCTGTGGTTTTGTAACAGCGCTCAGCAATTAAAAGCTCGGGTTAATCAGAGCCACCTTAAGCCAGGCTTTGCTACAAAAGCTGCTCCACACCTGCCTTGAGCAAACATTCATTCAGATTTACTGCTGGGACACCTTCTGCTCTTACAGCACGGAAAAATCAGGAGGAGAGATGAATATTGCACAGGGAAAAATGGTTTGGGGAAGGAGAAATGAATATTGCACAGGGAAAGGTGGTTTGGGGAAGGAGAAATGAATATTGCACAGGGAAAGGTGGTTTGGGAAGGAGAAATGAATATTGCACAGGGAAAGGTGGTTTGGGAATCCCTGGAATGGGATAAAGGAAGGGATAGGAAGGGATTGAAAGGGCACTCAGTGTCACCCTGCTCTGCCCCAGGTGGCTCCAAGCCCTGTCCAGCCTGGCTTTGGGCATTCCAGGGATGGGATATCCATGGGATAACCAGTGCCAGGATCCCAGCAGCCTCACAGGGAGGGATTTCTTCCCAAAACCCAACCTAAACCCACTCCTTGTCGCTTGGAATTGATCCCCCCTTGTCGTGTCGCTCCATCCCTTGGATATTCCCCTTCCTGCGCTCGGGAAGGTCACACTGAGGTGGCCACAAAGATTCCCCTCTCCAGGCTCAACAATCCCAATGTTTTTATGGCCAATTTGGGGTTTTTTCACCCCTAAACGGGGCACCAAAACCCGTATCATTGGGATGTGCGCGTGGGGGAAGCTGAGCCAGGAAAAACACACCGAAAATATCTCCAAATACCCACGACCCCAGCAATCTCACATCGGCAAAAAATCGTCTTCGACCGAGTTAAATTATTAGGAAATAAAAGTTTCAGGCAGGGATAAGGGGGAGAGGATTCCTTTCCAAACGCAGCTGGCCCCAAAAGCGCTGGGCAAGGGGCAGGAACAAGGGGGCGACTTTTAATCCCAAAGCCAAACCCCTGCGACCGCCCTGCTGCCCATTTCCCTGCACAACTCGGCGACTCCATGAGGAACCGCTGCCCACCAGGAACAATGGGGCCCCACCCAGGGCTCGCCGCTCAGCCCCGGGGCTCGCCGCCCGTTCTCCCTCCCGCTTCCTCCTCCTCCTCCTCCTCCTCACCTGAGGGTTCCCCTGAGCATCCCCCCGCCACCGCCGAGGTTCCCGTTCGTACCCCCCGCCCTCCACCGGCGCCCAGCCCGCTGCGCCCCGCGGCGCTCTGGGAGTTGTAGTCCCGCGGCCGCCGCCCGCTGCGGGACTTCGCCTAGCGGCCTCTCCGCAAAAAACTACGAATCCCAACAGCACCCGCGGCGCGCCCCACCTGTACCCCACTCCCCGCAGGTAAATGCGCTCTCTCAGCCTTTTCGCGCGGCGCCGCGGTGCCTGCTGGGAAAGGGAGTCCCGCGCTGCCGGCGGGGCGCGGGGGCGGTGGCGTCTCCGCACTACAACTCCCGGCGTGCCCCGCGCGCGCGCCGCCATTTTAGGCGTTGCCTGGCAACGCTGACGCGGCGGGAGGGAGGAAGCGGCGGGGTCGAGGCCTGTGCGCCCCAAAATCCCGGGAATTCGGGAAAATCGGGAAAAAGAGCTGTGCCAGATGTGGCTGCCCCATCGCTGGCAGTGCTCAAGGCCAGCCTGGAGCAATCTGGGACAGGGGGAGGTGTCCCTGCCCAGGGAAAGGGGTGGGACTGGATGGGATTTAAGATCCCACCCAAACCATCCCATAATTCCATAAAGAAAACCGTGTGGTTTATTTCCCCTAAAAACCTCCTTCTTCTGTGGTTTATTCCCCCCTACAAATCTCCTTCAATGTGATTTATTTCCGCTAAAAGTCTCCTTTCATGTGGTTTATTTCGCCTTTTAACCCCTCGTTATTTTGCATGCGGATGAGGAGCAGCACCTTCCTCAATCCCAGAATTTTCCTCATTCCTTGCAGCACAAATCCATTAAACTTTGGCATTTCCAAGCCAGCTCCTGATTTCCCTCAGGGTTTTTTTTTTCTTTCTGATAAAACATAAATAAAAAACCTCAAAAGCCTCATTTAGATAAATTTGGAGCTGTTCCTCACCTTTATTTTGAGGAAAATCTGTTTTTCTGCTTAAATTATCACGGAAAAGATTCCTGGAGGTTTTGGATGTCTTCCCTAAACTGGAAGTTGCAAATTATACACAAAATACGGATTGGTTTGGTTGGATTTTTCTTTATTTTAAAGCAAGACTGCCTCAAAATGCAAATGTTTGTAAAGGTAGGAGGTGAAAAACTCCATGAATATTCATAAAATATGATAATTATCCCAATTACGGCTAACGAGGAAATCTTCCTTCATTTCCATGGCTTTGTAAATATTATTTTTTTTAAATAAAAAGGGAAGGAGGGAGAAAAGGAGAGCGGGGATCGCTCCTGAGGCTCCAAAACTGAATCTAAAAAAAGTCATAAATATAAAAAAAGAGAAATCCATGAAGGATTTTCTGGGATGGGAATGGGAATGGGAATGGGAAAGGGAATGGGGATGGGAAAGGGAATGGGGATGGAATGGAATGAGAATGGAATGGGAATGGGAATGGAATGGGGATGGGGATGGGAATGGGAAAGGGAATGGGGATGGAGATGGGAATGGGAAATGGAATGGGATTAGAATGGGAATGGGAATGGAATGGGGCAGGGAATGGGAATGGAGAATTCCTGAACTCACTGAATTCCTGATTCCTTGGAATCCCAACCCCTCCTTCCTACCTGGATGTGCTCTGGGCAGTGCAAACCATTCCCGGGAATCCCTGGGCTGTGAGGATCCCGTGGATCCTGGAAAAGCAGGAATGGGGAATCCTTGGATGTGGAAGAGCAGAATGGGAATCCCTGGGCTGTGGAAAAGCAGGAATGGGGAATCCTTGGATGTGGAAAAGCAGGAATGTGGGATCCTTGGTGTGAGGATCCCGTGGATCCAGGAAAAGCAGGAATTCTGCCAGCAGAGGGCCGCAGGGATTGCGTTCGGGCAGGAAAAGCGGGAGGGGAGAAGAGGAGGGCCCGAGGCATTCCCGGGCTCTGCCGTCACATTCCCGGTCCCGGAGTCATTCCCGAGCCATTCCCGAGCCGTCACCGGAGGGAAGTGACTCGTTCCAGCGGGATGGCACCGGGACAGGCACGGGACAGGCACGGGACACTGAGGGAGCTCCGAGCGCCTGCCGGGAAAAGTGGGAGATCTGGGATGAATGAAAACATCATCCAGATACCCTGTTAGTAAATAAAGATATCACAAACGTGTCGTGTGCCTTCTGGAGTTAACGTTTCTGATTTGTTCTGATTTATTTCTGATTAGTTTCTGATTGGTTTCTGATTTGTTTCTGATTTGTTCTGATTTATTTCTGATTTTTTTCTGATTTTTTTCTGATTTGTTCTGATTTATTTCTGATTGGTTTCTGATATATTTCTGATTGGTTTCTGATTTATTTCTGATTTATTTCTGATTTGTTTCTGATTTATTTCTGATTTATTTCTGATTTATTTCTGATTGGTTTCTGATTTATTTCTGATTTGTTTCTGATTTGTTTCTGATTTATTTCTGATTTATTTCTTATTTATTTCTGATTTGTTTCTGATTTATTTCTGATTTATTTCTTCTTTTCCAGCAGCTCCTGCATCCACGCTCCCCAGCTCCTGGAATCCAGGGAGAACACACTGGGAATATCCAGGGAAATCACACTGGGAATATCCAGGGAAATCACACGGGGAATATCCAGGGAGAACACACTGGGAATATCCAGGGAAATCACACTGGGAATATCCAGGGAAAACACACTGGGAATATCCAGGGAAAACACACTGAGCTCTCCACCTCCCCTTGGCAGCTTTTCCCAAGACACAATTCCAGCTCTGTCCCTGCAGCATTCCTGGGAATTCCTGGGAATTCCCGCTCCAGGCTGGAACCAGGGAATGGTTCCCAGCCTTGTTTTTCTCCCAGCTCCAGATGAACAATTCCCAGCTTTCCTGGAATTTCCACTCCAGGTAGACAGATCTATCAGGGAACGGTTCCCAGCTTGGTTCTGTTCATGGCTCCAGAGAAACAATTCCCAGCCCTGCAGCATTCCCGGAAATCCGAGGCTGGGAATTCCCGCTCCAGGCCGAAAACAGGGAACGGTTCCCAGCCTTTTCTCCTCCCGGCTCCAGAGAAATAATTCCCAGCTCTGTCCCTGCAGCATTCCCAGGAATTCCAGGTGCAGAGAATTTCCAGAGAAACAATTCCCTGAGCTCCAGCCCTGTCCCTGCAGCATTCCCGGAAATCCGAGGCCGGGAATTCCAGCTCCAGGCCGGAACCATGGAACGGTTCCCAGCCTTTTCTCCTCCCGGCTCCAGATAAACAATTCCCAGCTCTGTCCCTGCAGCATCCCCGGAATTCCCGGGCTCCAGCAGGGAACGCTTCCCAGGCTTTTCCACGTGCAGCAGCTCCCGGCCAGGTGTTGGCTCTGCAGTTCCCAGGTGTCGGAATTCCAGTGGGAATTCCAGAGGCTGTGCTGGCTCCTGGCAGGAAGGAGCCGTGGTGAGTCACCAGATCAGCCTGGAGCTGGCCCTGGCCTTCAAAACCCAAATTTCCCGTGCTGGAAAGGAGGGATCGGCGGTGGGAATGGGTGGGAGCGGGTGGGAGAGGAGGGGCGGTGGGTCTGGGGGCTGCAGCCGCGGCCGGCCCGGTGTTTTCCCCGCGGCCCGGAGCATTCCAGGCCGGCCGTGACTCCGGGAATGATTCAGCGGATGGGGCCGGGCAGGCGGAGCAGGAAAAGTCACCTGTGCAGGAAGGGATAAAACACACCTGGGCTGCACCGCCGCGCTCCTGTCCCGGGAAATCCCGGGCAGATCCCGGCCGCCCGCTCCGCAGGATCCAAACCCGCCTTCCCGGGGGTCCCGGGGGTTCCTGGAGGATTCCTGGGGGATTCCTGGAGGATTCCTGGGGGGTTCCTGGAGGATTTCAGGCATTGGGAGAGCAGGAGATGGTTTGGTCCCTCTGACAGCGCCTGGACAGGTATTTGTGGGCTGGGGGGAAATCCCAGGGAGCGATCGCTGGGACTGGGGAATGGGGACTGGGAACTGGGACTGGGACTGGGAACTGGGAGTGGGGAATGGGGAACTGGGGAACTGGGACTGGGAACTGGGACTGGGGAATGGGGAACTGGGAACTGGGACTGGGACTGGGGAATGGGGAACTGGGGAACTGGGACTGGGATCAGTGGGACTGGGGAATGGGGACTGGGAACTAGGACTGGGAACTGGGACTGGGGAACTGGGAACTGAGTGGGATCAGTGGGACTGGGGAATGGGGACTGGGAACTGGGACTGGGAACTGGGACTGGGGAATGGGGACTGGGAACTAGGACTGGGAACTGGGACTGGGGAACTGGGAACTGAGTGGGATCAGTGGGACTGGGATCAGTGGGACTGGGGAATGGGGACTGGGGAACTGGGACTGGGATCAGAGGGACTGGGGAACTGGAATAAGGATTGTTGGAACTGGGATCACTGGGACACAGATTGTTGGAACTGGGATCACTGGAACAGGGATCACTAGGACTGGGATTGCTGGAACAGGGATCAGTGGGACTGGGATCAGTGGGACTGGGGAACTGGAATAGGGATTTTTGGAAATGGGATCAGTGGGACTGGGATTGTTGGACTGGGATCACTGGAAATGGGATCAGTGGAGCTGGGATTGCTGGGACAGGGATCAGTGGGACTGGGATCACTGGAACAGGGATCAATGGGACTGGGATTGTTGGACCGGGATCACTGGAACAGGGATCAGTGGAGCTGGGATTGCTGCAGAGGAAATCACCGGGACTGGGATCACTGGGATTGCTGGAACTGGGATTGTTGGGATGGGAATCACTGGGACAGGGATTGTTGGAACTGGGATCACTGGGACAGGAAGCGTTGGAACTGGACTGGGATCACTGGAACTGGGATTGTTGGAACTAAACTGGGATTGTTGAAACTAAACTGGGATAACTGGGATCACTGGCACTGGGATTGCTGGAACTGGAATCACTGGGACTGGGATCAGTGGAATTGGGATCACTGGAGCAGGAACTGTTGGATCTGGGATTGCTGGAATAGGAATTTCTGGGACAGGACAAATCCTAAATCCTAAATCCTAAAGCCCATACTAAACGTGACCCCTCATTCTGCTTTTATGGTGCAAAATATTCCTGGAATTTACAAAAATCAT